AGAAAAGAAAATTACAAATTGCATGCAATTGAATATGTGAATATAATATTCCCTTAGGCATATAGATGCAAAAATCTTCAACAAAATATTAGCAAACCAAATCCAGCAGCATGTTATAAAGGTTATATCCCATGCTCAAGTGGAAATTATCCCAATAATGCAAGACTGGTTCAGCATAAGACAATCAATCCACCAGTCAACTCCACATTAAAGAAATATAGGGGAAAAAAATCCTGCAAGTTTATTCTGGTTGATGCAGAAAAATCACTTGATAAAGCTGAACACTTTTTCATGACAAGAAAAAAAAAAAAAAACCAGTAAGCAAACTAGAAATAGAAGAGAAAATCCACAACATGATAAAGAGCATTCATAAAATACCCAAAACTAACATCACACTCAATGGTAGAAGACTGAAAGATATTTCCCTAACATCAGAAATGAGACAAGAATGCCTGCTGTTATGACTTCTATTCAAAATTGTATTGGAAGTCTTAGCCAGAGCAATTAGGAAAAAAAGAAATAAAAGCCTTCCAAATTGAAAAGGAATAAGTAAAGCTATCTTATTCTCAGATGAACATGAGCTTATATATGGAAAACCCCAAAGAATCCACAAAACACTATAGAGCTAATAAATGAATTCAGCAAAGTTGCAGGATATAAGATCAACACGCAAAAATCAGTTGTATTTCTACAAACTAGCAATGAACAATCTGAGATGAAATTAACAAAATAAAAAATAATTCTATTTAAAATAGCATCAAAAAGAAGAAAATACTTAGGAATAAATTCGGCCAAGGAGGTACAAGACTTGTACATTGAAAACTACAAAACATTGCTGAAAGATATTAGAGATAGCATAAAGAAGTGGAAATATATCCTGTGTTCATGAATTAGAAGACAATATTATTATGATGATGGTACTACCCAAAGTGATCTACAGATTTAATACAATCTGCATCAAAATCCCAGTGACCTTTTTTTTTTTTTTTGGCAGAAATGGAAAAGCCAGTCTTAAAATTCATGTGTGATTGTGTGGGACCTCAAATAGCCAAAATAATCTTGGAAAATAACAAAGCTGGAGAACTCACATTTCCCAAATTCAAAACTTCTTATAAGGCTATAGTTATCAACACTTTGTGGTACAGGTGTAAGGACAGACATATATATATATAAATGGAATAGAATTAGGAAGCAAGAAATAAACCCGAAAATGTATTCATGGGTATGTACCTCAAATATGAATGGTTTCCAGCTTATAATGGTTGGACTTACAATGTTTTGACTTTATGATGGTATGAAAGCAACATGCATTCAGTAGAATCTATACACATAAAAGTACTTAAAATACACATACAACCACATACAACCATTCTGTATTTCACTTTCAGTGCAATGTTTAATAAATTACATGAGATAGTCAACATTTCATTATAAATTTGACTTTGTGCTACATGATTTTGCCCAACTGTAGCCTAATTGTAAGTGTTCTGAGCATGTTTAAGGTAGGCTGGACTAAACTATGATGATTGGTAGGTTAGCTGTTGATACGGTTTGACTCTGTATCCCCACCCAAATCTCATGTCAAATTGTAATCCCCATGTGTCAGAGGAGAGGCCTGGTGGGATGTCATTGGATCATGGGGGTGGATTTCCCCTTGCTGTTCTTGAGACAGTGAGTGAGTTCTCATGAGATCTGATGGTTTAAAAGTGTATGACATTTCCCCACTTCACTCACTCTCTCTTCTGCTCCACCATAGTAAGGCGTGCTTGCTTCCCCTTCACCTGCTGCTGTGACTGTAAGTTTCCTGAGGCCTTGCAGTCATGCTTCCTGTTAAGCCTGCAGAACTGTGAGTCCATTAATAAATGCTTCATAAATTACCAAGTCTCAGGTAGTTATTTATAGCAGTGTGAGAATGGACTAATATAGCTGTATTAAATGAATTTACACTAATAATGGTTTTAACTAACAATGGGTTTATCAGGATGTAATACCATTCCAAGTTGAGGAGCATCTGTAATTTAAAACAGCTGTTCAAACACTTGTACAGGAGCGTTCATGGCAGCACTATTCACACTATCCAATCAGTAATGTAGGGGATCAAATGCCACCTCAAAATATGCCACTTTGGCATATTGATTATTTTGAGTTTAAAGGCACTTGAAAATAGCAGATGCAAGAAGAGCATGCTGACCTTCCTTTTTTTTTCATGAAAGGAAGAGATGAAACTCTGATGTGAAAGGTATTATCTGTATACCAGGAAGAAGAAACACATTCTTCTTGCCCCAGATGGGGAGTCCAGGTTTGAGGGAAAGCTGCTCCAAAAAAATCTTGTTAAACAACTCTTACCTTCTTAGTGACTTTTCCACAATTAACTCTCCTAGCCCAAACCCCATTGTCTTGTTATGTTTTCACAATTTAACACACTTTTCCCACCCTAGTATGTAAGTATTCAGCTGTAATTGCTCATTTGAGTCTTCGTATTTCTTATGAGGGCTCCCATGTACATGTAAAAAAATTTTGTATGCTTTTCTTTTGTTAATCTGTCTTATTTAAGTCCTAGCTGGAGAATCTAAGAAGATAGAGGGCAACATTTACCTCCTCTGCCATGGAAATCACTTAATGAACTGTTCATCAACTGATGAGTAGATAAACAAAATCTGGCCTATTTAAACAACAGAGTATTTCTCATTGGTGTTGTCTCAATGCTTAACACAGTATGCCTGGCACTACCCTTTAATATTTTTTGAAGAATGAGACAATGAATTATCATGTCTCCAGCTAGGTTCGCCAGTATGAGTAAAATGTAGTGAGTGCCTACTGTGTGCCACTTTACTACCTAAACTTTGCATGGACTCTGTCCCCTAATCTTATCTACCAATGCCATTGTCTTAGTTGAGATATCTGTCATTTCTTGACTGGTATAATACAGCAGCTTTCTAATTCCAATCTCAGTCCTCTCTGTTCTATTCTCCACACACAATCCTCTCTGTTCAATTCTCCATGCAGCTTCCAGAGTGATCCTTCTAGAGGCAAATCAGACCATGTCACTCCCAAGCTGAAAGACCACAGTGGGTTCAGTGTAGCCTACAGGGTATTCTAAACCCTGAGCATGGTATAATAGAGCCTCCATGTCTTGGCTCCTGCCTACCTCTTTCCCAGCCACATCAACCACTACTACTCCACTGGCATCCTACTCTCCAGCCTTAATGAATTGGTTGCAACTCCCCTCCTCCCACCAGTGCCTTGGCTTCTCATCATGCTACAGATTCTTTAACACACGCACTGTCCTCCAAGAAGCTTGCCAGATCCACTCCTATTCTTTCAACGAAATGTTTATTGACCACTCTTTATACACTATGACCAAACAGGATTTATCCCACAAATGTAAGGTTGGTTCAACATGTGAAAATCGGTTTATATAATACACCATATTAATGGTTGGTTCAACATGTGAAAATCAACTTATGTAACACACCGTATTAACAGAATGCATGGTGGAGCGGCGGGGGGCGCGGGGGTGGGGGGGACTCATGGTCATCTTAATCATGTACAGAAAGGATCATCTGACAAAACGCAATACCCTTTCATGAAAGTACATTCTACAAACCAGGAATAGAAAGAAACTTCTTCAACCTGGTAGAGGGCATCCATGAAAAACCCAGAGATAATGTCACACTTAATGGTGAAAGACTGGTTGTCTTCCCCCTAAGATCAGGAATGAGAAAAGGATGTCTTCTCTTGCCACTTCTAATTCAACATGGTACTCAAAGTTCTAGTCTGGGCAATTAGTCGAGAAAAAGAAATAAAAGGCATCCAGATTGGAAAGGAACAAGTAAAACCATCTCTATTCATACGTGCATAGATGGCATGTTCTTATATAGAGGACACTAAAGAGTCCATCAAAAGGAAAAAAAAGAAAAACCCGAGATGGTTTGGCTCTGCGTCCCCACCCAAATCTCATGTCGAATTGTAATCCCCACCTGTTGAAGGAGGGGCCTGGTGGGAGGTGGCAGAATCACGGGGGCGGACTTCCCCCTTGCCATTCTTGTGATAGAGTTCTCACAAGACCTGATCGTTTGAAAATGTGCAGCCCTTCCCCCTTCGCGCACGTTCTCTCTCTCTTC